CAATTAGTCTGCTAGGGAGGAAATGCTTTGAGCTCAGAAACTGCTCAGTCGCTCTCCCACCCACTGCATGGGCTGATGAGGAGAACATGGGTGGTGGGAGTATCAAAAGTAGTCATGATTCTAGAGCTGTGATGCAGTTTTATTTTAACATCTTCATGTTAACGTTCAAAAACCGTTTCCACTCCAACTTTAATTTCCTTCTGAGCGTCGTATCTTTTTTCACAGCGCAGAATGTACCTCGTTTTAATCAGCCTCAGTCATGTAAGGATTACTCAGGACCTGTGATTTCAGTCCTGAGAGGTTTCAAATTCTGTTTTAAGCCGAATCAAACTTTATCCAGAGGTTTCTTCCTCAGCAGGCATCCTCTAGACCGAGTGGAACAGATCTTGGTGTTAAAGCTCTAAATCATCATCATAATCACCTCAGGCCTATCGTATATGAGAGCTATAAAAGAGACTGTATTTACAGTATCAGTCAGTAAGGTTTCTTGTCCTTGTCACTTTTAAATAACCTAATGCAATTTGTCAGCTTTTTCCCCTGTTTTTCCACTGGGGAGTCTGCGCCAATAAAATATTACGTTGAAGTTGTGTTGTAATTATTATGCTGTCTGATCAGCTCCATTTTAATAAGTCTGAGCTATCAGGACCTTACAAGCATTCTTACAAAATAGTTTGACATTTTGGGAAATGTGTTTTCTTGCCCAAGCGTTAAATAAGAAGATTTATACCAATTTCATATCTGAAGCTAGAGCCAGGAGGCAGTCAGCTTAGAATAAGCTCTAAAATAAGGGAAACTGCTGCCGCTTATTTTTTTATGACACAAAATATCAGTGATAGCATGATAACCGTCTTCCTAATTCAGATCATTCCACCAAATCAGCTCTCAAACCCTCTCGGGGCATTGACATGGAGGATATTGGAGCTGTCGGAGTGATGAACAGGTGTCATTGTATGCAACCAGATTTTATAGGAATGTAATAAGTAAAAAAAATACCAAAAGTCGTGTAAACTCCAAACCCTGAGATACCTCCTAACCCCACCTCCAACCATCAAACTGCTCTGCTACACTCTCATTGGCATTACTAGTATATAATAATAGTGATTTTAATAATAATAGTGAGAAACTTTTATTTGTTAAAGCATTTCCAGTTCTGGCCTGTCGGGCCATGGACACACAACCTCTGGTTGGTGTCTGGCACCAGGATGTTGGCATCAGATCTTTTGGGTCCTGTGGTTTGCGAGACAAGCCTTTGTGGATCTGTTTGTTCCGGTGCAGCCAGCAGATGCTTGATGTGATTTGGATCTGGGGAGTTTGAAAGCAGGATCAACACTTTGCTGTGTTCCTCAAACTGATCCTGGGCAGTTTTCGCATTGTGCTGGGAAACCTTGTCCTGCTGAGGGAGGAACCTGGTTTCAAGGAGCGTAGTTGCCATGAGGGGAGTGTACTTAGTCTGCAACTAATTTAAGTAGTTTGTGCATGTCAGAGTAGCTTCCACATGAATGCAGGACCTGCAGTTTCTCAGCAGAACAGCACTGCATTGACAGTTGACAAAGGTCAGCTTTGACATCCTGATTCCAGTCTGATGATATATGATCTTGTAGCTTTATGTCTAGTGTTTGTCCTTAACTGTCAATTATTTCTTTAAAGTGACATCAGTCGTAGACTTTGGAAAAAAGATACTTTCCAAAGCCTAAAAAAATAACCTGATGATGCCATTGTTAGGTTATGTTGGGTTGGAGTCTTTTAACATGCAAGAAGGATCATGATAGAAAAAAATCAATTAAGTTCCATCGTCAAACTGCAGGATCAAGAGTTATTGTTGTTGCTTAACCAATACTTGACACCAAAAGTCAGGATATCTGTACCACCCCCCCAAACTTGTATAAAGTGCTGACAAAGTCACATTTTAAACATTCCCTGTAATGCAGTACATTTACAAACCTGCTTCTAGCAAATCCATCTTTCTGCCACTAGACACGCTTCCGATTGTTTGCTGACTGGGCTCTTGACACTTCGCCTATATAAAGATTAACTATTAACTTTGCACTTTTCTAAGTGACTGGACTGAACATATGAGCACTGACTCACTCCCCAAAGACAGAACAAACACCCAAATCAAGTGAAGCGTGCTGCTTTTGCCGATATGCTTTGATTATTCTGTGTGACATTCACACTGCCGGGGGTTAGAGCTTCCTCTGCCACCCAGAGCACTTGAGCTGTAAAGCTGCCGGAGCTTCGGATAGAGACATTCCATTTTTCACTCAACTACTTTGAATGTCATTCCTCAGCCTCGTTCTCGTGTGTCACCTGTCATTGTCGGCTCACTTGAGTAGGCTTTAATATTTGGGAGATATGAGAGATATAGCTGGGGCAACGGGGATGTTTGCGCAGCTCCGGTGGAGTATAGAGACGGAAATCCCCAAAGCACAAACTCATCTCAAATATTTTATGAACAGGGACACTCTGAGCTTATAAATGAGTGAAGCTGCGTTGGAACTAGTCCGAAGAGTTTGTCTTTTAAGAGTTGTCTGTCCTTTCTCAAGGACAGTTTGGCATTTTATGGGTGTTTCTTGGTGCACTGACTGTTACTGGAATCATACCCGATGCTTCTTTTTTATGGGATTCTGTCTTTAACTAAAACCCCACACCGCCGACCAGTAAAAAGTAAGACGCCAGGGTCCAAATAAATCTGGAGCCCCTGTGAAAGGATCCCCGCAGCCTTGTCAAAGCCGGTGCTGCTAGTAAGCAGACAGAGAAAAGAAGTAACTCATATGAAAGGGATGCCTGGGGGCTTTAATCTGATTCTACTGCCTGTAGCTGAGCCAGAAATGGGGGTGGTTTGATGCAGACATTGGTGACGGGGGAGATATAAATGACAGTGACAGTGAATCACACAGTTGACACACTGCGTCACACCTTTGTCACACTCGCTGCTCTGAGATGTTGCTGTCAGCGAGGTTTTTTGTCACGGGTGTCCTGTCTAGCGGAACGTTTAATGGCCCTTTAAATACAATTATTTTGTGGGGAACCAAAATTACACTCACCATGCAACAAAAAACAACCAGAATGCCGTTTGTAGTCAATAAAGTCTGGTCATTAAGTTTGATACAAGGCTAGAAATGAAAGCTTGTGTGAAAAATAGCCTTTGTGATTAAAGTTGTATGGGACAGACTTTCCTATTATTCCTTTATGAGCCACATATTGCAGCTAACATCAAATGGAAGTTAGTGGTCACGGCCATTAAAAAGACATTTGCTTGTAAGACGGAAACAAAATATCAAAAAGGTCATTTATTTATTGTTTATTTTTTTGGTTTCAAAAAATGTCCAGTGCATGGCGTGTCCAGCTCCAGCTGAAGGCAGCGGAACACCATAGTTCAAGAAGAAGATCTTTTCCCCCAGGAGTTGGTGGAGACCAAAGCAGAACTAAAAAGAGATTGAGACTAGGATTTGTTTTTGTCAACGAATGTGATGGATTTTTCTTTAAATGGTAAATGGTCTGCACTCATATAACGCCTGTTTCTACCTTAGCGGTACCCAAGGCGCTTTACAATGTGTTTCGCATTCACACACACACGCTAATCTACCATTGGGAGCAACTTGGGGTTCAGTGTCTTGCCCAAGGACACTTCGGCATGTGGGGGGGGACCAGGGATCGAACCGCCAACCTTGCCATCAGTGGACAACCCGCTCTACCACCTGAGCCACAGCCGCCCCTTTAATACAAATCAGTACTGGTTAAGGACAGGTTCACAATTTCTCATTTCTGACATCAAACAATATTAGCATTCCCACATGTACACTGCTGTTTGCTCCAGGTGTTGCGTCCATGTTTGCCAAGAGACCTCCTCTGGTTGCACTTCTCATGTAAAAATGGACGACACATTCCCCAGCAGCAGTTTGCATTAGGCAAATAATTGGATGTCTTTTAAAGTCAGCGTCTTTTGTGCAAAGTTCCTCCGCTGTGCGTCCACAGATGGTGTTGTTTGCTGAATTACAGCATAGTTACACAAAGGGTATTTAAAAACCTGTACCTTTGAGCGATACCCACTTCACTTGTGTTACCCAAACTGACGAGTCCTCGTATGAACTTCGGCTGACACGCATGATACATAACAGTGGATTTAGCCCCTTAATCTCTTACTCTGTAATCAAAATCAAACAAAACCAGAAGCTGTTTCATTGCTCACAGGATTTGGTTTTCGGTCCTGGCATGTGTGGCTGCATTACTCCAACATCACAACTTGTCGCTGTGTAACGTAGAGTAGTTTTACAGAGTCGTAGGTGAGCTGATATCCTTGAGCTAAAGTGAGATGAGACACAAAGATGAGTTTTAGAGGTTGCATAAATAACAGAGCAGGGACTTGAAAAGAAAAAAAAAGACTTGTGAAGTTAACGTGTACATCTCCTTCACCGAGAGCAGGTTGTTCCATCAGGTGAGACAAACCGCTAACCGGCGTTTTTTCTCCACATAGCCAGAATCGCTAAACTGCTAGAGCTGCTAAAGTTAACCACATGGGCTGTGAAATGAATTTGTCACCCCATTGTTTTGACTTTTCTGCCACTAGAAGTGAGAGGAATGTACCAAGCCAGCTCTGCTTTGTCAATTTACGACTGCTTCCAAACATATCGAATGTCTCCGCTGCGAGCTTCCCGCCTCAAATCTTTGTCAACGTGTATTTCTCCCCACATGGGGCTCGAAGGCATGTGACCTCAAAAACAACTTAGTCACTGAGCGAGCGCTTGTTATTGCACTGTCATGCGTTCCGCTGTGTTTTTCATTTCCCCGCAACACTGCTGAAAGTCGTATTGTTTCTGAAGCCGAGCTAAGCGGAGCTGACACGTCCCCCAACAACCCACAAGATAATGTCTGTATGAAATCAGTCGTTTAACTGTGCCGCTTATCAGCTCTCTGCATATGGAGCGGGTGGATGCACGAGGGACGGAGTGTATCTATGCAAGCATCTGTAGTCGACACATCTGCTGTAAATGATATGGGATTATGAGGAAACGGGAGCAATATGACGGGAGCATTGCTGAGTCACATCCCGTCTGTCCTCGTTAGGCTACTTCTCCAAATCAGTATTTCATCGCCAGAAAAGATCCACTACATTGACGCATTTGGAGTTGGCTAAAGACAAAAGAAAAAGTAGCAGCCTTCGTATCTAACCGACCTGTACAGATGGATTGAGGAGTGTGGAAGATCACTGCTAGTCCTGGTTGTTTCAGTAAGTTGCAAAGGATGAGCTCAATAAACTGGCTGGAAGTCTTCCCCAAGAAACTTTCTCTCAAGAAATCAAGCCGATTTGGTGCAAGCTCAAAAAGTGTAGTTCATTATTTACTTCATTACCTCCCTCTCCGTCTTCCGTGCTCTGTTTCCTCCTTTTTCACACTTTATTTGCTCCATTTGCGTTCCTGCTCCTTCCTTCCCTCAGCCCCTCCTTCACTTCTTGCTGTAAGCAGAGCTGTCAGAAGCGTTTGAAGTCATTTTTTCTCACCAGTCCTACATCGGGGATGCCTCGTGTGGAGTTCATAGCCTTAAATAAGAGCTCACTTCTTTATCAGCAGGGATAGCTACTGTGCCCTTTTCCCAATATAGCCCTTTATAATGCTCCTCTGAGCGACTTCCACGCCGTCTGGATTGAAGCACACGGTCTCATAAAAATGCATCTCGACTCGGGGCAGACACATTTTTCCTGACTTGTATTAGTCATTTTGTATCACTTATGTATCTCTAATGATGTGTTGAGGCGGGTGTTGCTGCAGGCTGTTTGTTCGGCAGCAGGCACTCTGTAGTATATCCTCCTGACACCCTTAATGCAATTATACTCCCATAGTACACAGACATAATAACATCTCAGACTAATGACCTCAACATCTGTGTCTGTGATAGCAGACACGTTATTACCTTTTGCATCCTCATAATTGACATTTCTGGCATTTTGTGAGGAACACAATTTAGTTGCTGATGTGAGGTTCATTGCCACAGCCATATGGTGAGAGCTTGAAATGTGACTATGCACAACAAATCAGTTTCCCTCATATCACAGGTCCAATGCTAGTGTACACAGCACTAAGTCTATCTGATGAAGACTTCCTGTCAGGTCAAGCCTGTCTTGCTTCTTGTGTCATCGACAGTAGCTTGATTTAAAATGCTTTCTCAGGGCTTAAGACTTAATCTGTTTAACCGTCGACGTTTACAGCTACTGGACAAGCCAGCATTTCTCTGTTATGGTGTGAGCTCGTAACACTGAACAAAAGGGTGTAAAGTTCCTCCTGAACACTTTTAATAAGGCATTTGTGTAGCACACTTAATGTTCAAGGGTAATCCGTAGTGCATTAAAGAAGGAAAAATAGCATAAAAATATGAAAATGGAAGATTTAAATATCAAATAAATAAAAGTACAGACAAGTTTACTGGCAAGTTTAAACCAGTACATTGTTCGTAACTTTCTCCTGAAGTTGTGATGACACACACACGCATCTGTAAACATAATGTCCAATAAAAGATGCAGCGATGAGGAAATTTAAATGAAAGACGTGCGTCAAACGATTCCATTATGTGAAAGCTCGCACTTTGTCAAATATATAACAGGAAATAATGAGGCTTTCAATAACCAACAAACCTGCTCCTAGAAGTCTTTTATTTTGTCTGTCAAGCTGGTAAACTCTTTCATTTCTCTTTATTTGATTAATATAAAAAAAAAAGTTAAAAATATCTGCAGACTTATGGATAATGAAAATAATTGTTGGGGAGTTTCCTTCAGGACATCTTCTCTCAAGTTAGATTGTCGTCAGTTAGAAAAGTATCTTGTGTCCGTATGTTGTTTGACGTTGAGTCGTCCCTCTATGGTTTGATTGGTTGGTTTGAACCAGACTGCCATTAAACTTTGAGCAGCCATTCGTGGTCCCCAGCAGAGAAATGCTCTCAACTTTATTGACCTTTTCTCATAATCCGTCACATTTGTGGTTTTTAGTAAGAAAACCTGGCGATTGTTCGATGGATTGCTGTGAAATTTGTCACAGATGTTCATAGTGGCCAGAGGACGAACCTCAACCAGCAAGTTGACGTGTTGGTTCACCTCCAGATCAGACTCTTGAACTTATGTAAAAAAAAAAA